ATTTCAACATAACTTAATAACATATAAAAGTAACCATGACCATTAACACACAGTGGTCAGTGGTTAAGGTCAAAAGGTCCGCCCTTATTGGAAAATTATTTTTTTTCTTACTAAGCTTTTAATTGGTCTATTTTTTTTGAAAGACATGTTCTAGGTGCTGTTCTCTACTGATTTGTGTAAAGAAATCACAAGTGCTTGGAACTGGAAGGATAGAAATTACATTTCCCACTAACTTTATGGGTAAGAAAGGACTGCTGGGATAGTATTACTATACTTGTGTTTAAATTAAATTAGGTCAAATTCACAGCCAAACACAAATGGAATTCTTTTTAAATCTGTGAACTAATGGTATAACCTATGATGATCTTTTTCTAAGATACTTTTATAAAGTGCACTAAGTAGACAGGACCTGGACAGTGGTTAGCTCCACTAATGTGTCTTTGGCCAAGTTAACTACGCTCTGATTTGCTTGCTCATCTGTATCATAAGGATAAAGTAGTGTACATTAAGAGAACACTAAGAACAAATGAGTTCATTTAGGGTTTTTAAAACATTTTATTTTTGGAATAATCATAGATTCATGGAAAGTTGCAGACAGGTCCTGTGCACCCCATTTTACCCAGTGCTACGCCTTACATAACTATAATATGATACCAAAACCAGGAAATTGATATTGTTACAATAGTGCCTATAGCCATGCCACATCATATGTGTAGATTCATGTAACCACTGTTGACTACTCTGCTTTAAAGGAAGTAAATCATTTATTCTGGGTCAAAGGTGAGTGACCAAAGATCGAGAACATGTTCAAGTTATCTCAAATCATGCTATCTGAAGGGATAGAGGTTATGTGAACTTTCATACAGAAGAATAAAGTCTGTACATTCAAAGAATAAATTGATGGGAAGCATTTGGTAGCAAAGTGAGGGCATTTTTTCTGTAAGTTTCAGGTGTTACAACTTTCTTAGTTTTAGGGTTGGTGGGCCCTAGTGGTCTACTTCTCATCAGACTGCAGCAAACATTTACTAAGCTCAACAATATATTCTGAGAGGTTTACCTAATAGGAGAATATTAGGCCACATAACAAAGCTTAAAAGTAAAATGGCTAATTTTCTAAAAGGCCTAACAGCCCAAAGATGATTTTGGCTGTAGGCTTGCAATGTTCTTTGTCTCCATAGTGTTATACTAAACTGAGATCAGATAGTCTGCAGTGTCATTACTACTGTTTCTTCAGAGAACTTTAGTGCTTCACAAAACCATTAAGGTCAGGATACAGAACAGAGTTCCATCACCACAAAGCAACTCTCCTTCATGCTACTCCTTTATAGTCACACCTGCCCTCTTCCTTCTTCCCTAGCCCCACTACTATGTTCTCTATATAATCTCATTTTGAGAATATTTTGTAAGTTATTTCATTCATAAATGACCCTTTGAAAGTGGCTTTTTGGCTTCATCCAATTTATTCTGTTATTAAGTGATGCTTTTTGTTGCTAAATTTCATGGTATGGGTGTACCAGTTTATTTAACTGTTACCTTAGTTTTAGGTTTTTGTGTGGATTTCAGTTTTTTTTCTCTAGGATGTCCTTGAATGAGATTGCTGAGTTAAAATATATTATAAATTCATATTTAGTTATTAAAGAAACAGACTGTGTTCCAGAGTGGCTACCATTTTACATTCCCATTGACAATGTGTGAGAAAGCCAGTTTCTCTGTTTGATGTTGTCACCATTTTTATTTCAGCTGTTCTAATAACTATACTGATGCCTCCTTAGTCCCTCCCTCCTTTGGTACCAGAGATCAAACTCAGGACCTTGTGCTTGCAAGGCAGGTGTGGTTTTTGTATCGTATTTAAGAATTCTAGATCAAGTCCTAAGTCATTAAGATTTTTCTTAAGGTTTTATAAATTTTGTGATTTATATTTAAATTCAACTCACTTTGAGTTAAATTTATATAAAAGTATAAAGTTTATATTTAAGTAAAAGTATAAAGTACAAGTTCATTTTTTCATTTGTTTTTGCCTATGTATAACCAATTCCAGTACAATTGATCAAAACGACTTAATTCTGGGTCCGTTGTTCTAGTCCATTTGTTTATGTATCTTCCCTTCCTCTAGGACCCCTTGGTCTTAATTACTGTACGTATGGGTCTAAAAATTGGATATAGTGATTCTTCTCACTTTTTTCAGAATTAATTTCACTATTCTAATACCTTTTCCTTCCTATATAAAATCTTTGGGTATACTTGTATGTAAACACAAAAAGTATTGCTGTGATTTTGATAGGAATATATATGCCTATCGATGAATTTCTGGAGAACTGACATCTTTACTGTGCTGAGTTTTCCCTCTGTGAACTCAGTACATACACATCTCCAAGAATTTAAGTCAGCTTTGATTTCTTTAGGTGGTATTTAGTACTGTAACCCTAACCCTAACCCTTTTCTACTTCCCCTTGCCCTTTGGACCTTTTCTTCTTATTTCACATTATCTATTAGAGTTAGGGTCAGGATAAAGATGGCTTTTGTGGTTCTGTCAACCAGTTCCAACTTGTATGGCTTTGTGTCTGGTTTTCTGTTTTGTTTTATTCAACTTCTGTATATGTGTGCCCCTTCATCTGTAACCAACATTTCTGATTAGTGTAGCTACATTTATCCCTCAGGATCTGTGGAGATTGGTTATAGCACCAAAACCCAGAGATCCTCAAGTCTCTTATGTAGAATTTTCATGTAATGTATGGGTATCCTCCCATATACTTAAATCATGCCTGTATTTGTAATACCTAATATGCAGTATATGGTTGTTTACTGTATTGTTTAGGGATAAATAACCAAGAAACAATGCTGTAAATGTTCATATGTGTTGAACATATCTTCCAGTTTAGGGCTTGTCTTCTCACTTTAAACAGTAATATTTGGCTACTTGTAGTTCTGTACAAAGTTGAATATACTGATCTTTTTCATTTATTTATTTTTATTTTTATTTTTTCTGGTACCAGGAATCAAACTTAGGACCTTGTACTTGCAAGGCAGGCAGGGTGCCCCTGAACCAAATGCCCAGCAATCTTGCTTTTAGTTCTTTTGGTTTATAAGTTTATTCCTACTCCAAGGTCACAAAGATATTATTCTATATTTCTTTGTGGATGTTGCTTTACTCAACTTTCCATTAGTATAACAAAATGCCTAAAAACAATCAATTTATAAAGACAAAAGAATAATTTTGAATTACATTTTTGGAGCTTTCAATGGGTAATCAGTTGGGCCCATTACTTTGAGCTTGTGGTGAGGCATTGAGTCATGGTAGGACTGTGAGGCAGAGGGAATGGGGAGAAGGAAGCTGGTGGTCACAAAGTACTTTCCCTGGAGCCCAACCCCAGGGGCCTAAGGACCTACCCCATTGGCCTCTCCTGAAGCTTCTGCCATTTCTCAGTGGTGCTACTTTGGGCCATTGGGGGCATTCAACATCCAAACTACAGCAAATGTTGTAAAGTTCTTAATCTGCCCACACTAATTACTTTTGGGTCCACGTAAAGTAAGGTTCTAACTTCATCCTAGTTTAGTTCAAGTGTCCCAAAAAGTTCATTTATTTTCCTGTTGATTTTTAGTGTTGTCTGTTGAGCGTATATATCTAGGTCTGTTTCTGATAGGTGTATTTAATTCTATTTCTGTTTATTTTTACAAATACCACATCATTGTAATTATTGTAGTTTTGTCATAAGTCTCCTTGTTTAGTGGGCATGTCTTTCTGGCTCATAAAATTCCACTAAAATCCCTATTGGGTTTGCTAGCAGAACTCCTTCGAATCTGTAGATGTGCTCGGAGAGAGTTGGCATCTTTACCATAATGAACGTGATCTCTTCATTATTTAGATACTTTTAAATGTTTTAATTAACATTTTTCTCAGTAATGACCTTTACACATCTCTTTTAATATGTGCATAGAATATGTTTATTGCTATTGGAAAGTGGATTGTTGTTTGCAGTCCCTGGGTTGAACCTGTGGCCTCCACATCCTAGGCCAGCACTCCAGCACTGAACAACACACCCAGCCCCAAATGGAATTCTTTAAATTGAAATTTTGTTTCTAACTTGAATATGTGTATATATAAAGTTGGCTTTTGGATTACTTTGTGTTTGTTCTTATGCATTTCTTTTTTTTTTTTTATTTTTGAGACAGAGTCTCCTGTGTAATTCAGGCTGGCCTTGATCTTGCAGAGATCCTCCTGCCTCAACCTAGAGTGCTGGGATTGTAGGCCTCTGCCACCACACCCGCTCTTTTTGATTTTTTGAAACACTGTGTAGTCTCACTATGTATTTGAGGCTGGTTTTGAACTCACCATGTAGCCCATGCAAGCCTCAAACTCGCAGCAATCCTTCTGCCTCAGCTTCCCAAATACTGGGATTATAGGCATGCACCACCATGCCTGGCTTGCATTTCATTTTAAAAATGTATCTGAGAACCCTAGTACAGTTTTCAAATTTGTATTCAATCTTTAATTTGTTTATAATTATTACTGTCTTACCAAGCACTATGGAAGAGAATTGTTTCTTGTTTTGTTTTCAAAGGAACACCATTTTTTATTTGTTAAAGGAAAACAGAGAATAGTGTTCTGTAATATCCTGTGGAGATTTTATATCCATGATGTCTGTGCTCTACTTTCAGAAATCCTGATTTTGTAGGTTTAAAGAAAACCAGTTTCTTGTTCTTTTAAAATATTTCTGTGGTTCTGTATATGCGTGTTTAAGAAGCACTGCTAGAGAAGTTACCGAGTAGTGAAAGAGTGGCCATGAGGGACTGTTTATTTGGTGAGAGGGCATGTCACTTAAAATTATGAGGGGCTATGCACTATTTTGTAACTGTGATATAGAAGTAGAATCATATGTATAGCTAACTAGCTTATGGATTTTGAAAGCATTATAAAGAGTGGATGCTAAGAAAGAACTCAGAGTTGACATGACATGTTTTGGTTTAGTACTCAATATAGAATGTCACTTTGTCTTTCCCAGTTGGAGTCATTCGATGCCCGATTTGCAGCCAAGAATGTGCTGAGAGACACATCATAGATAATTTTTTTGTGAAGGACACTACTGAGGTTCCCAGCAGTACAGTGGAAAAGTCTAATCAGGTAAGTGTGTATATACTTTTTGAGCCTTTCTTTCCCGCTGTTGATGAGACAACCTAAAATACTGGAGAGCTCAACTATGAAAGCAGCCAAACTTCAGACTGTTCATCTATGAAGTCATGTAATAGCTTTAAAAATAGCAGTGATTAGTTCAGCTTAAGAAATAAAACAGGGTCAGGACAGAAGTTCCTCATTGCAGCCCTGCTGTCTTCATGCCCTCCAGAGAAAGACATTATTTGATGTTATTATTCCATTTCTTTTACTTGCTGCTGTGCACTGTCATTTAGATTTTTATTTCTGTCTTTTTCATTTTTATATTTTGCTGATAAATTATTTAATGATAAATGTGAAATCCATTATATCTTGATCAATAGGGTTTCTTTTTTTTTTTTTTTTTTTGATACCAGGGATTGAACTTGGGTCCTTGTGCTTGTGCAGCAGGCGGCGAAACCACTGAGCTAAATCCCCAGCCCTCAGTAGGGTTTCTTGATCAGTAGGCTTTCTACTTTTTTTCTTTGGTACCAGGGATCAAACTCGGGACCTTGCGCTTGATAGGCAGGCACCGGAACCACTGAGCTAAATCCCCAGCCCAGTTTCTACTTTTTTGTTTTGGTTGGTTTTGGTTTTGGTCTTTTGAGACAAGGTCTCTCTTTGTAGTGCAGGCTGGCCTTGAACTCAATGCATAGACCAGGCTGGCTTCAAACTCCCAGTGATCCCCCTACGTCAGCATCCAGTGCTGGGATTACAGGCATACACCAACATACCTGGCTAGGTTTTTACATTTTTAACTAAGCATTCTTTTCTACATGGTATTACTTTTGTTGTTGGTGGGTTGTTTTCTTTGTTTTTTTGGTACCTGGGATCAAACTCAGGACCTTGTGCTTGCAAGGTAGGCCTGGTGCCACTGATACATGGTATTACTTTTGTTGATGTTGTTTTGTTTTTTGAGATAGGGTCTCTACGTAGTTCAGGCTGACCTCCAACTCACTATGTAGCCCAAGCTGGCCTCCAACTGGTGATGATCCTCCTGCCTCAGCCTCTCTTATGCTGGGATTATAGGCATGTGCCACCACACCCAGCTAGCTAAAGTGTTGGATGAGATTCAATGGAATCTTTCTTTTCCTCCCTACTTCTGTAACCCACATATAGAACATTTTTCTTGGCCTCTTAAATTAAGATGTCAGATCCCTAAAGATAAGCTGTGGCACTCTAGCAGGGGTTAGCCAGGCTGAGAAGAATATTACAGCATGTGATGACTCTAGTGTATTGGTCCCCTTGTGAGTTTCGATTCATTGATGTTACCTATAGCCCACTGGTGGTGAACCTATGGCCCGTGGGCTGTTATCATTGAAAGCTCTAAAAGGTTCACCACCGCTGTGCTGTAGGCAGTTTCTTTAATTTAGAACAGAAGACGAAAGAAGGAACTAAATCTGGTTAGGGAAAAATGATCATTTGCTATATTTATCAGAAATTGTTGAAGTATACAAGGCTTTTTCTTTTTTGGTACTGGGGATCGAACTTGGGACCTTTCACTTGTGAGGCAGGCAGTGGTACCACTGAGCTAAATTCCCGGCCCTTTATTTACTTTATTTTTGAAGACAAGGTTTGGCTGTGTAGTTCAGCCTGGCCTTGGACTCACTGTGTTGCCCAGTTTGGCCTCGAGCTCATGGTGCTCCCCCTGCCTCAGCCTCAGCCTCAGCCTCAGCCTCAGCCCCCGCCTCCCCAGTGCTGGGATCACAGGCGTGTGCTACCATGCCTGGCTACAAAGCAAATTTCTGTGCTTTTTGTTTCTTGAACTACAGGAATTTAGGGTTCGCTTTATAAATTAACATTGTCATTACTAATTAAAATTCTTTGTTTTGTTTCACCAGTACTCATGGTTTTCCCTAATGTGAACTTTCATCAAAAGCCAAAACAGGGCTTACTACAGAGGATAAACATTCTTTCCAATTGTTATGACACCAGCTTTGAAGAATGGAAACTGGTCCGGGGTATAGTACAGTATATATGTTCAGCATACACAAGGTCCTGAGTTCAGTCCTAGCACACTCCCCAAAATTGGTTTTGCTTTTTTGTTTTTTTTGGTTTTTTGTTTTGAGACAGGGTCTCACTATGTCGCCCAGGTAGCCCTCAAACTCACAGCAATCCTCCTGCCTCAGCCTTCCAAGTGCTGGAATTACAGGGGTGTGCCACTATGTCTGGCTCCAAATTGGTTTTGGAGACCACCACATGGGTACTATGTTCTTATTACCATTGGGTTGGCTTCTTTCCTCGAGTCAATTTTTTTGTTTTGTTTTGAGACAAGATCTTCCTGGTAGTTCAGGCTGACCTTGAACTCACTATGTAGCCTAGGCTATCCTTGAACTCCTGGCAATCCTCCTGACTCAGCCTCCTGAGTGCTGAGATTACAGGCTTGTGCCCCCCACAAGAGAGTTTATATGTGTATGTGTGTGTGTGTGCGCACAGTATTGGGGATCAAACTCAGGACTTGTGCTTGCCAGGCAAGTGTGGTGCCACTGAGCTACATCCCCACCCCACTCCTCAGTCAAATTTAGAATTAGGGGTTTTACTTTCTTGATTTACATTTGGATCTCTTCTATACTGGAAATCTTTGTTGTTTTTGTTTAGTACTGGAGATCAAACTCAGGACTTTGTGCTTGAGAGGCAGGTGGCAGCACCATTGAGCTAAATCCCCGGCTGAAATCTTTGTTCTTAATGGCATGGGCAACAGTATTCTCCAGGACAAATCAATATGCATAATATATTGTAGGTTATGTGATGTTACTCTTTTTTTTTTTTTTATGATGTTACTCTTGAAGCAGAAAGGTACTATTTTAATTCTTAAAATTTGTTAACTAGATATAAAGTTGTTTACTGTTTTTTTAAATGTATAACTATCGTTCACTAAACATATACAAAAATTAAAATTATTCAAAGAAAAGCAATGCAAGGGAAAAAGTATAATAATATTCAAATATAATACAACTCAACCAAAGCAAAACTGAAAAATACTTAAACATTTTTCCATATAATTTAAAAAAACATCTCAAGCATTAACAAGACATCAAAGGATGTGATTTGTTTTAGAAAGATTTTCAAAACTGGTTTTTTTGGTTTTTTTTGGTATGAGGGATTGAACTCATGTCCTTGAGCTTGCACAGCAGGCAGCAAAACCACTGAGCTAAATCCCTGGCCCTTCAAAACTAATATTGAACAAATAGTGGTCTGGAAAAAAAATTCTAATTAGCTAGTAGACTCCACATAGGCCAATTTTTTAAAATTTAAATTTCAATACAATCATGTGACACATGATAGAAATATAATCTGAGAAATATGATATTAGGCAATTTCACCTGTGTGTATTGCAAAGTACCCCACAGAGTGCCAACTTCTAAGTGCAGACTGCGGAGGTATATGTTAATCATCTGTGATGACCCCTTGATATTATCCAAATACGCAGTTAAACACGAGATACCTGAGGCTACCACTGGCATAGCAGCACACTGTTTTACAGTAAACTCTTTTATATAAGTAGAGTTAGGCTCTAAAAGATGAAAAGCACAGCATGTTACGATAAGTACCTAAAACAGTAGCAGTCATTTATCACACTATCGAGTACTGTGTACTGTACATAGTTGTATGTGCTTCTTCTGGAAACACAGCCTTCTCTCCTTTGATCTCAGGGACTCTTCCTTCCCAACACACTGATGAGCTCCAGCCTAGTCTCTATCTACATCTCTTCCTATAGTTATAAACACAGTCTATATATGGATTTTTTCCAGATTCCAGCCTGTAACTCTGATCTCTCCCCTTCCTAAAGTTGTTTTCTGAAAAGATAAAAACAACTTTTTTATTAGTATATGTTTGTGATACATAAAAATTACATTGATTTTGGGGAATTAATACATGTACATGACATATCTTAATCATTTTGCTTCTTGCTCTCACCTCTCGCACCTTTCCCACCTCCCCTTCCAATCTCTTCCCAAGTTCACCTCCCTGTTTCCTATCCTCCCTCTTTTATTTGGTTCTTTAAATTATTTATGTTTTGAGTTTTTCATATAAGAGAAACCATGTGATATTTAGCCTTTGGTGTCTTGATTTATTTAGCTTAGAAGAAAATTCTTTTTTTTTTTTTTGGTACCGGGATCGAACTCAGGACCTTGCGCTTGCTCAGGTGTCAGAACCACTGAGCTAAATCCCCGGCCCATGAAAATTGTTAAAAGTGCCACAGGTACCAATTGTGGGAGGCCCAAATGCTGCACACTTAAAGGAAAGTCCTTGTGGAACTTCACCTCAAACATGAGGAGGATGGTGCAGCCTGGCTGGTACCAGAGTCTGAGTGTTTAGCTTGGGACCCAGGCCTCTGACACCTTGGTGCTGGTGGGAAGTGGGTTGCAATAAAACTGGTTATACAAATACTGGAAACATTGCAAACCACAGCTAGCTTGCCATAGGAAGGAACTGCTGCTGTGGGGATGAGGCAGCATTGTCTGGTGTGGTGCACACAGAAATCATAAGCAGAAAGCTGACTGCAGGAATCAGGTTTCCGCTTCCTCTGGGATTGTAGTTTCCTTCCAGCACCACTCATTATTAGGAGCTAAAGTGAAACCAGCTTATAAAGCATAAGTATGGCTTGCAGAATAAGAGGGTATGGAATAGTGTAGTTGAGGCTGAGAGGAAATTGTAGAGCATTCCTAAGAAAATAGCAAGAAAGACAGCAGTTGCTTCATGCATGTACTGGAAGTATTCAATGAAAGTATAATGTTTTAAAATCCCGTATAACAATTTTTTTTTTTTTTTTTTTTTTTGCATGTCAAATTCTTTACCCATGCTTGGGAAATTTTCTGTCATTACTTCTGTAAACAGGGTTTAAAAAAATGTCATTTGTACTGTCTCCTGCTTTTTCATTGTCTGATCAATCTTATGTTGTTCTTCTTTACACCATCTTGCAGCTGTTGGATTGATTTTTCATAGTCCCTTGCTATTTTTAAGCAAATCCT